TGCCTTTTCTCTTCACATTAGACAGCGAGGTCGTCGCTCCTCCTTCCTCTCCCGCTGATTTACCCGGAGCTGCAACATAGGCGGTCCCGACGGTACGTATTATCTACCCGTTGCGCGGCTTCTTTCTCACTGCCCACAGTATAAAATGCCCTCCCCGCGATGACTTTCTTTGTGCCGCTTGGGCGCCTTTTCTTGTGCGCGAGCCCGCAAATCTTTCTTGGAATCCCCGCTCTCTCTACTTCTTCACGGCTCTCTCTCTCTCTCTTTGAAATCCTTGCTCACTCTGCATCTTGACGTCAACCAAATTTTATCTTGTCATCCATGCCTCTCATTGCTCCCCCAACGACGTGGCAGGAACGGCTTCAGCAAAATGTCGACAAAAACCCCGCTCTTGCCGCCGTCTTCGAGGATGGTCTGGATGGCACCTTCCACTACAAGGTACTCTTTTATTTTCTCAGATATTTCTAGTGACTTACGTTACAAGGCCCTCTCCCGACCAGCTCTCGAGGGGCATGCAGACATGCGGATCAAATGGCGCGCTTTTGTCGAATTTTACGCCGAGGCGGGACAGGCGCGACACGAGTTGCCGTCGGAGATCGAGCTCGGGGTGGAACTAGTGACCGAAGGTGCGTCGATACCATCCTTTTCCTCCAACTCCTACTCACTGCACTATAGGCATCGTCAAAGAATTCGTGACGTTCCTTGCGGTCACGACGAAGCCCCTCTTGACCGACGTGGCGGCACGCGTCTCCATCAAAAACTATGTAAACCGTTTCTGGGCTTTGTGGAAACGATATGCGAATGTTCACGTCCCGACCACGCTGCGAAATCAGGTGCGAGTTATTAAAATTCACCTTCGTGTAGCTAACCCCCTGCATTCAGACTCAAGCCTACATCGATTCGATGGACATGAAGTCCGTCGCGCCTCTCACTACAGATATGCGAAAAAAGCTCCCAGCCGACGGCGTCGACCTCGTCAAGATAACGAACTTTACCTGGAACGACACGCGTATCTTCCGGACCTTTCGCTCCAAGGCGCAGTTCAATGTAATCAACGACCTCTCCGCTCTCACTGGCGAGCGGCCGGGAGCGATAATGGAAAGTACGAGCTACAGGAAGACCAATGAGGCGTTAACCTGGGCCGACGTCAAGTTTATGATCATACCAAACTCCACCACCCCTCGCGAGCCGCACCAGTCCCTCCTCGTTACATTCCGCCTCCCCAAGGGCCACCGAGGAGATGAGCACTATTTCAAATCCTTCTTCCTTCTCCAAGAGCCTGTCGGTCAGCGTGCTCATTGTCTCGTCACCATCCTACTCTACCTCGCGCTCCTCGACGCCATCTTCCGCGATGTCGACTCTATCGGGGAGATCGTCAACCCTCTTATCGCTCCGACGGCTGTGCACATCCTCGAGCTCAAGGAAGAGTGCAAGTCCATGCTGGTCTTTCGCGGGGAAGAGTATATCGACGGTCACTGGGTTACGTCGGCCACGCGCGCACTCCAGGCCTCCACGCACAGCAACCAGCTCAACAGAGTTACGTTGGCCATGGGATTCAAAGGTACGTCTCTCCCCTTCGAGTCATGCTGGCGACTTACAGATGCGATTCTAGTCCTAATGGCCATGTACTGCTGGCGCCGCGGCGCCGCTGGTCGGTTCAACGAAGTGCTAGGCGAAGAAAAAAGAAAGAATCTTATGACGCATGGGATTAACTCCCGCGCTTTTGAGGTGCGTTGTGTTGCCCATGCTTACCCTCTCTCTGACCATACTTTTTTTTAGGAAGCATATCAGTCGCACCTCCACGGCCACGACTTTGGCGGTATCCTGCACGACCGTGGGGAGAATCAAGAAAACCTGGCTCTGATCAAGGTACCTATATCCCATCAATACATCTACCATCTTACCAACTCCTTTGCAGTCGGCGACGGGGATGTCAGCTGGTGCAGATCCTACGGCACCCATGCGTTGTTCTTTGGAGGCGCGAGGGACTCTGTTGCGGGAGCCAGAGCTTGTTTCAATACGCAAGCAGATTGCAGAGGTATGTTCCCGAGCTCCCTCCGAGATCTGCAGTGACTCATTCCTTACAGTTCAAGAGCTCGGTTGCAAACCACCGCTCTGCGATCCTTTGCCTCGACGCCGACGACCACGAGGCGTTCGCTGAGCTCCAAGGCAACATCCGCAGCGATACGACGGCACACCGCACGCTGCAGGCGAAGCACGACGCCATTGTCAACCGCGAGCTCAAGACCCGCCTTGCCCTTGAACGCCAGATACATCAAGGAGACCACTCCCGCAGACAACTCACCGGAGAGGTGCGTTCGCATATTTATCTGCTGGCCTATTCATCTCAATATTTCGCAGTCCGCACCCTCGGCCCCAGCAATGGCCCTTACTCGCCTGCCGTTGGCCGACAAGACAAGTGGGAATGTGCCGTTGATGCCCAAGATCCTGACGTCGCTCGGTGATCTCCCCTCAACCTCTGGCAGTTGGCTGAAGACCATTGAGACGGTCGACCCCCTCGCTCGCCTCTGCGACGTTCTCTACCATTTTGCCATTCCAAACTTGGCGATGGAGACGGCCACGGCAGTCGACGCGTACCTCGGTCTCCCCAATCGTCCGTTCCCGCTCTGCTACCCAGGCGAATCCCCGACGGAAAAGGAGGCCTGCTGTCCCGTGTGCTCAATTCCTTGCGGGTGCGCGATTTGTTTTATCCACACTCACATTCATACTCAATGGTACTCTAGAACCGGCGCCTTCCGGGGCAACGGCAGCGAGAGCGTCGGGTCCCATATACACAAATGTATAACCAAATCACATCAGGAACAAGCGCAGACGTTCGTCGAGAACGAGTACTCGCCGCAGCGATGCGCCTGGCAATCGTGCAAGAATAAACATATCTTTCCCAGCCGCACTCTCTTCGTCGCCCACATCCAAAAGCACATTGATTCCCTAATCACGGTCCCAACCCTCAACGCCCCCGTCCGTTTCTGTCGCTGGATCCTTAACGAGGACGAGGATGCCGACAACGACAATATGTGCTGGGAAACCGTCAACGACGTCGACGGCGACTGGCACAAACATTTTGCCCAAGTTCATGGTCTCAATGTGCGCGAGAAGGTGGAAGTTCATTATTGTGTTTCTTGTCCCCAGTGGTTCGTCCTTTGTCCCATCTTGTCCTTGTGATTTTGCTGACCATACAACAGGTATGTCGACGAACTCGGCGACGGGCTCCTCTGGGAAGGGCATAACCACGAACATTGGATCGAACTGTTCGAGCCCTTCTCTGAGCGAGTCGACAACGACACCCTTGACTTGACCCCGCTCGGCGTCGAGTTCACCGCGACGACCGAGAACTGTGTTGACTTTGTTCCAGGTACGGGATTCAGCGGGGTTCATCCTGAATTCCACGGACATTTTCAATTGGGTATCGCGCACATCCCCGGTCGCTGTCCATGGTGTGTCTTTAATGACCTTCTTCCTATTGAGGAGCGCATGCATCAGTGTGTTTTCTTCTTTTTCTCTCACGTCTGAGCTAACTAACTGCTCGATAGATGGCTTAAGACGACTTTGTTCGTGAAACACATCCAGACTCACCTCGACGACATTGAGGACGACGACAACTTGTGCCCCATCCCTTCTTGCGGTACCCACAAGTTCTCCCGCTTCGACCTCCTCTACCACCTCGTTGCCTTCCACCGTCTGCCGATGTGCGGATCGACTAACCACACCGTCGTCCGCCGCCTCCGACTTCCCACACCCCACGTCGACCCCATCCCTGCCGTTGACCTTGCCCACCTGGATGACGATGACATGGACGTCGATGCGCCGACCACGACGGTCACGGTACATGCCAAGGAGGAGACCGAGCGCCAGAAGAAGGTGCGACTGGCCAAAGAATCTCGTACCTCTGATACCGTGGTGGCGGGGTACTGCTTGGGTTGTACAAGGCGCTGCAAAGACATCGGTCGCCACATCTCCACCAGCAAAAAGTGCTACCACAAAAACCAATACCGGCTCGCCGATGCTGGATCCAAGGGGCCGGTCTTCAATTGGACATTGACGGTCGGTTTTCCGTTATTGTGTTTACTTTCCTTGCTTAATTTTTTTCAAGGGTCCCGCACCTACCACTCAGCCCCGCGCCGGAGGCAAGAAGCCGCACAAATGTGTCGTGTGTCAGCGGTTGCAGGCAGACATCCGCGACCATGTCAATAGCGCGTGCAAGCCCACAATGTTCAAGATCGTCATCGAGGGTAGAAATTTCGGTCCTCAAATCTCCATCGCGTCCTGGGTTGCGGAACAAGACGCTGTGAGTCGTATTCACATCTTACTTTCGTGGCTGAAAACTTTGCGACTCCAGGCCAAGAACGGTGCGGGCGACGACCGCGGCGAGGGTTCTTCTAAACGAACCGACGTACGTGGCAACATCCCACACTTTCACTTTCTCTGACCATCGTGTGCAGAACGAGGAGCATTCTCAAGAAGAAGACGATAACGACGACGACGAGGGTGTGCGAGGCTCCAAGCGACCGGGGGCCTTTGACGTACGTGGCAACGTCCAACACTGGCCGCTTTCTCTAACTATCGTCTGTACAGGACGACGAGGCCCCTTCCAAACGGACCAAACCGGCCCCCGTACTCCAAGCTCCCCGCGACGGCGTATGTTTCTTTCATGATCTCTTCCTCGCGCTTATTCTTCTGGGACAGGACTTTGTCTGTGATGGATGTGACGAGCGCTTCACCGACTCCGACGAGCTTGGCGCCCACTTCGCATCGCTGCGTGGAGGCTCCAGGTCCAAATGTCGTGCAAAGGTCTTCCGACAGAAGGTCTCCGATCGTGCCGGGTTCCGATTTGGAAAGCAACTCCAATGGGCTACGTGGGATGGTGTAGAGAAATAACCACCTTGTCACGATCAATCGTTTTTTTAATCAATCGCTTTTTTTCTCTTGTTATTTGTCACCTCCGGCTTTGTGAACACACATCATAGGGCCTCTCCAGTATGACACTGGTGGTGAAACGGTATCATGCTTGCCTTCCAAGCAAGCGGCAGGGGTTCGACTCCCCTTCAGTGTATACTTTTAATGTTATTCTCCTTTCTTTCGTCCCTAGTTTTCAAGAACTCGCGCGGTCGTTTCTTTTGAATGCGCGCTGTCTGTCTCTGCTTTGCCTCGGTCTCCCCTGTACTGCTCGTTGCACTCTTTTGTGTCACTCGTCGAAGAATAGACGCTTGAAGACCCAAGTGCGACCGAGAGATCCGCGTCCATTGTCCAAAAGCGGATACTAATTACACTCTACTACTTTGTCTTCATCTTCCTTTGTCTACTCGTGCCCGGCAGTTGCCTCTTCATCGTGGGATCCGCGACCAAGCTAAAATGCGGTGGCGCTGGGCTTTAGCACCTCCTCATTGCCAGATCCATGCAGCTGCCCTTCAGCTTTTCGTATCTGATCTTCACTCCCCGCCATGTGCGCCTACCAGGTGAAGTTCAGCGGGATAAGGCGATATCGTAAGAGTGCTTTACTTCGTTCTGTGATATAAATGCTGATCGATAACAGAACCCCACCTCGTTGGCCCGCTCGCCTTGTAGCTGGGACCAAATCTCTCAGATCCTTTCGGTCTATGCGAAGGCTGCGCGGATTGGCGTCTTCGCCGTCCGACTCGGAGGACTTCCACCATGAGCCGGAAACCGACTTGCAAGACTGATATCCAAAGGTTGCTCGCCCCACACAAGTCGCCCGGTTCCTCTAACGAATTCGGTTTTTAGTCACTCGAGACCACTCAATTAAATAATCAATCTGACAACGAAGATTTCTCCTCCCGCGTAGAAAAAATACCGTGTCCAAACCAAGGTATTACATAAGATACAAGCTGGGGAAGGAAGCGTCTGCGGAAATGCTAGGGAAACCACGGTGGAGCAAAGATAAATATGCAGTGAAGAATTGTACGATGTGCTGAAAATAACGAGAAGAAATTGGACAGCCGGGACAGTTCAGCCCGGAGAGTCGAAAGAACCCATCTCCGTCACCCCACCGTTAAACATGGCCTTTAGTGTCATGTCGTTTCGCTTCTGCCTGACACGCTCGGCCTCCTCCGCCCCTCCAGTCATCTTGAGCTTCTTCCCCGCAACAAAGTCGCTCAACTCCGCCTGCATCTCGTCCGACCTGCTGGCGAGTTCCTTCTCCCGACTTTTCTGGCTCGCTTCTATGGCCTTCATCCGTCGTTCCGGATCGACAGACGCCCCTCGAATCTCGAGCATCACAGTGCTCAAGCCACCGTGTCCCTCTTCTGGAGGCGGGGGACGATAACCTTTCTTGCCGCCACGACTGCCGACGGACCCAGGGCCGCGGATACTGATGATCTTCTCCACATGCCCGTATACCTCCACCAGAGCCTTGTGGTCCTCGAGTAAATCCTCGAGAAATTGCTCTTGATGGGTGAGGAATCCCTGCTCGTCGACAATGTTCTGCAACTCCTCCTCCCAGGTCTTCTTCCACATCGGTTTGATCGTATTGATATGCTCCTTCAAGCTCTCCATCTCCGCCGCAACAGTGTCTATATCCTTCTTGATATTTCGGAAGTATTGCGCTTTGGGAGTAATGTGACGCTTGATAACATCGTCCTTGACGCCCTCGACGGTGTCCTGCAGCTTCTCCACCTCGGTGAGCACGTTCTGGCTCCGCGTGTCGAGCTTCTTCTTGCCCGTATCGATGTATCCGCGAGCCCCACCAACGCTGGTGCTCGCAAGCTGCTTGACAGACTGCGTCTGCCCACGAAGCGTACCTAGTGATTCCTTGGTGGACTTCATGAACTCCGTATACAGTTGGCGCATAATCCCCAAGTCCCGCCGGAGGTTCTGCACCTCGTCGAATTGGGTTTTGAGATCCGTAACGACGCGCGAGGAATAATCGGACAGCATCGAGCCACCGGTCATTTGAGGTTGGAGAGACTGGCCAGTCATCTGGGGCTGTAGCACGGACATGGAGGGAGTAGGCTGGGCGAAGGACGATATCATGCCTGAGGAGCCTTCTCCGACAAAGCGTGAAAGTCGGCGCGCGACATGTTGGAATTGGCGATCGGTGGGTCTGTTCGGCGCAGGTGTACTTTCTGCTAACGGGTGACCAACAATGCTAGGCGCATGTATAGACTGCCTGTTGTTGTTGTGCATTGCCGTCTTGAGTTCTTTGATGTCCTGCGACAGATTCGAGATTTGAGTGTCGATGTGTTGTTTGATCTGGTCAAGCGCTGTGGAAAAGGAATGGTCAGAAGACGCCAAAGAGCGTTTGAGAAGACGCACGCTCAATATTCAGTGAAAGTAAACACTTTTCTTTGACCTCTTCCATGTCTTCTAACTCGTACTGCACTCCACTTGACGGATCCCGAATATAGATAGCGGGAAAGTTCTCGAGGCCCGGATTGTACGAGAACTTGTCAACAAATAATACCCGAAGTGACGGGAACGATAAACCGTGGTCTATTGTCACTTTTTTCACTTCTCTCCCAAGTTGTAAGAAGACAGTGAATCGGGAAGGGTCCTCCCGAGCTGGGGGCTCCGGGAGAGCAACGGCAGCTTGATCGGGAAGGCCCGAAGCTGACGGTAGCACAGGCTCGGGCGTTCGAGTTGAAGTGGTAGGTAGGGGAGGGACAGGAGGCGTGTCAGGTTGGCGTAGTTCAGGTGCACTAGGACTTGAACGAGACCTCGAGCTACCCCTTCGGAGAAGTGGTGCAGATGGTTCCTCGTCGTCCACCTCGGTAAGCACGGCAAGGTCCCCGGGCGTTAGCGCCGAAGAAGCTGCCAGCGACCGCCTATTCGGAGCTCCGAGTCCGGTGCGCGAGGGTCTCTCTCTCATTGCTGGACCACCGGTCATTTTCGATATATTGTAAGTGGAAAAACGCTTTGACGCTCGGCGTTCCAGCGTGTCACTCTTTTTCAGAGCGGCAAGGGAGTTTGCCATGGCAGGCGCCTGAAGGACATCTATAGGCGGTGTTTCCGGCGGAGGGGGTGAGGTCGAGCCGTTGGTACGGTCATCTGGACTTGAAGGTTCCACGACTACGGCAGGAGTGGCGAGGGGTCTATCCACCAATGAATACCGCTTTACGCTGGCTGGAACATTTGGCGCAGCGGGAGGCATTGCTGTTTGTTCATTCGGGGAGTTACTGGGATATTGAAAGGTGTCCGCGGGAGGCGGGTCAATCGGAGGCGGGACCGTGCGCGCTTTCCGAGATTGTGAATCGGTTTGGGGAAAGTAATCCCCTTGGGGGTTAGAATCTGGCTCCATAGGCCGCTCCATGATGGTGGGCGCGAATCCTCCGATGAAAGAATCGCCGTTGGTCGAGCCATCATTGAGCGATGAGCCATTGAGCGAAGGTGAGCCGGGATCTTTTCTTCGCCCTGACGATTGCTGTGTGCTCTTGCGAGAGGATGTGCTATCCCTGTCTCGCAATGCGGTGTTTGGCGTTGGAGGAGTGTCACTGTCGTTGAATGTTGTCCGAGATAGCTGGGACCGGTGAGCACCTTCGCGCCGCGAGCGAGAAGAACGGCTCTCTGTTCTTTCGGATCCAGACTGCTCAGACCGGTGCCGATAATCAGACACTATGCGTCGGTAGATGGACTGCTTCCCGCGGAGGCCTTGCAGCAAATTCGTGATTATCTGCCGCACGGTCGGAAGATAAAGTTCGAGGTTATCGGGAGTGGCGTCTTCTGCAAGACATTGCTCTAGGACATTCCGTAGGTCATCGGGGACGGTCATTAGTTCGCTTCAACAGGTTCCGTCAATGATTAGGAATAAATGAGGGATGTGGGCACGTACGCCATGTCGATATTGAAGGCCGCAAAGGCAGCTACTGCAGCATTGAAGTCGTTACCCAGTCGAACATACACGTCGCTGACGTTAGTCTCGTCAATCTTTAATAAACTCCATTGTGTGAGCGCCTCCAGTAATTGCTTTATGGCCACAAGCAGACGAGTGACCGCGGACTCGACGGCAGGCTTGAAATCCAGCCGGATAAGTCAGCCAGATTGCTTCAAGTCGACTGTGTATTACAACGCACATGTGCAGCACTTCTTGAACCCCCGCGCTCGCTCCGACTTGAAGCAGAATGGGTCGACGACGCAGACTGGTTATTCTCGCGACGTGAGCTCGTGCTACCAGTGCTAGCTCCGGGCGCTGGGTTCGAGGGTAATGTTGTCCTGTTACTAGTAGACATGGACGATGAAGGGCGAAGTCAAGGACATGAACCGTGCTACGATGAGCTATTGGCGTGACTAGCGTGACTTGTTATCATTTTGGCGGTGCACACCTTGTGCACACCACATCAATATGCCGGCCGCAACCAAAGCCACCTCCAAAACACCACGTCTACGAACCCGAAATCCTGCATTTTCCCTTTTGCCAAATGAATTACTTGCGGAAATCTTCAAAGTCGCCTGTGTAACGTCCAATCTCCGTTCAACCACCTTGAAGGCTGTTTCTCATGTCTGCCATCGCTGGCGTCATGTAGCTCTAGCTTGCGGCGAACTTTGGACCCAGGCCGATTACGAGCACGACCATCCTGAATGGGTCAACGCGCAGCTTCGTCGCTGTGCAAACATGCCCATCGTCGTCAAAGCTCACTTTCCCATGCGGTCCAACCGCGGACTGCAGAACCTTCGGTCCGCGTTATCAGATGCCGCCATCCATACCCTTGATATCCAGGCTCCACCGGAGATTCTGGACCAAGTCTGGGAAAAGTTGGATGCATGTTCCTTACAAACCTTGTCCTTGTTCATCCCTTGGTCCCAAGTGCCCCCAAACATCGCGTATCCCGGCTCAACATTTCACATACATACTCCCCATCTTCGAACACTCGCCCTGTCTAATTTCGTCGTTCCTTGGGACGCAACCTTATTTACCAACCTGACGCATCTTCGTCTCCATCTGCAAGACCAGACCTTCGCCCCATCAATGGCCCAGATTCTTGGAATGCTCTCCTCTTCTCCTATGCTTATAGAACTTATTCTCCTTCATACCATTGAGAGTTCTTCTCGACTTCCGAGTCCTGAATCAGTTGGCCTCGTTCCACTGCCTCATGTTACGAC